ACCCTACAAACCCTAAACCCCCAAACCCCAACCCGTTTGAACCCAAACCCCGAAGCTGGAGGCCGGCCTTGTTTGTACAGCGCAGAGCCCAGATCCCGGTACTGACGGGGAGAGTAGCCGGCCGGATCCTCCGCTCAAAGCGGTTTAGAGTTCAGGAATTAGGGTTTAGGTCTGAAGATTAAGGCTTAAGGTTTAGGGTTTGGGGTTCAGGGCTTGGGTTTGTTCGTTCCATTCTTGTTGCTTAGGGCTTCGGCTTAGGGTTGAGGGTGGTGGGGTTTCGGGGCTTTGCAAATATCACCCCGAAGTTGGCTGCGTTTCGGGCTAGCGCCTTCATGCTTTCAACAGCTCTAAATAAGCAATACCTTCACTAAGGGTTGCACAGAACTGCGATATTGGGGGACTAGTATAGGGCGGACATATGCACACCAAGCATTAGGCAGAGCACGTGTGAGAGATAAGCTTGATATGCGTTGGGGATTGCCATGCGGGTTTCGAGATTTTGCGCTCAGCTCTCACTCTACAGGAGGAAGATAAGTCAAACTTGGGTGGTTTTGGATGTTAGCATTTGGACGCCGAACCTGAACACCCATAGATTTGATCCGTTGCTCTCAATCCTGGCGCCCTGAAATCCTACATGCTACGCTTCTGTATGCGCTAGAGGAGTTTACCATTTACAGATAACAATGAACCCTGAAGAGAATCGAGATGCCGTCTTTGACTTCCTGACAGCAAGCACTTCAAACAAGCACGCCAGCCTAGCCTCATGTTGTATGTCCAGCTTGCAGTAACACTTGGATTATGCCTATAGGTTCCCCGGCAACCCCTTAACAATGAGGGTAACCTTTTTCCTCATGCTCAACTTTGCTAAGGAGACCCCAACACAAGAATTGAAAAAGGATTCTACGGGCGCACCTAGAAAGCCTCAATCCCTAATGACACCGCCTTTCCCCTACCAGAGCCTCGTCTTTGATTTGAATGGCTTTATGAAGAAGCTCCTCCGCCTCCTGAAATGGAGGAGGAGCTACGAAGGCATTGATTGGGCTTATGGTTGGGAGCTTAAGGATTAAGGCTCATAACAGGAGGATTTGGGCAATCTCACCCCTTTGATAAGGACCAAATAAGAGCCGTATGGTAACCATAGAGTCATGATGTTGACTTGGGATCAGTGACGCCTCCTTCTCAGTTCTTGCAAACGTAAGAGATAGCTCTGGCATGCCAGGAATCAGGGTTTTGGATGTAGGATTCAAAGTTTCAGGAAACTTTTCCATACAATGATATCCACAAGAAATCCAAAGACATGTAAGAATTCTGAAGGGTACGTAGGGCGTTCTCATACATGTAGACGGATGTCATTGGGCTTAGAATCCTTTCCGGTTCCTGAAAGGCGTCCTAAACCTTAAACCCTAAATGCAAAGTAGACACTGGGAAGCCTCAAACTGCGAGACCCACAGAAGCATCTGCTATCTGCAGGAATTGGGCTTCCGCATGTCATGCAAACCTCGCTTTGGGGGCACAATTTCGGGATGTATTTCAAGTGGCATGATGAAATCCTTAACCCTACCCTAAATCCTAACTCAAACCCTGAAACCTAAACCCTTAAACCCTAACGCCCTAAACCCCTAAGCGCGTTGAGGGCTTGGGCGGCTGAGCTCCATCAGATGGAGGTGCTATTTGGCTGGCCTAGGAAGTAACTAAATATAGCTAGTTAGTATTGTTTAGGGTTCATGTAACTCTGAACATAAGCCCTTATATCCCCACATAACCGCTCATAACTGCATTTACTAAGCAGTTAACTACTTCCCCGCCCATCTCAGTACCAGAAAGTCTGATTTCTGGGTGTTCGCCGTCCCAGTTCCTGGATGTCTTTAGCCACGCACTTGGCCGTTTCCAAACTCGGGGGTACCTTTTGGGGGTTGTGCTTTAGGGTTTCGTTAGTATTTTGGGTATTTACTGGTTCAACCCCAAACCCTAAACCCTTTACTCACCGAAACTTCCACTTCAACCTGCGACCTTGCCCCTAAACTATAAGATTGTATAGGCCTTCAGCTTCAACCCTCAGCCCTATATTGAGCCATAATCTAAACTCCTACTATCCCCCTTAATAACCCCTGGAATAGTCCCCGATATAATCCCCTATATAACCCTCTTTAACGAGTTGAGACTATAGCTCATATGCAAGACATCCGCAATTTGACAGCAAACCGCGCCTTGTAGTTTCCACGACTGATCAAGAGACGGCCTGAGAACAAGCAGGTCAGGAGGGTCTAATAATAATAGGAATACTCATAATAATTCAATAGAAATAAGAGTAATGATAGTAAGAATAAGAGTTATCACAATAGTAATAATAGTACTAGTAGTAATACTAGTCATGATATTTTGGGGTTTCCCAATAATAGACGTACCCTTTTTGGGGGTACCTGTAATAAGGAATGTAACTATAGTATATTAGGGTCTATTCTGGGGGTCCCCCTGCCAAAGGAAACTACCATCTGTCTTAGGATCACACGACCACCCGTTCAAACCTCGCAGGTAAGACTAATGTATAAATACACATGGGAACAAGCGCAGGAGCAACCACTGATCCGAATAGGAGGCATCCCCTACGAACTGTCCATACAGGGTCTCGAACGATGCGCATGGTCTAGCGGCTAGCGACTGTTCAAGATCTGTGGGTAGGAGGGTCAACTATTGTGGGAAGTAGAGATTGCAGCTGGCAGCAGGTCGTGTTCTGGCTTGCGCGAGCAGTGAGCACTACTACGACCCTGTTATTGTAATCAATCAACATCTATCTGCAGAAGCGTCCGAATAGAAGATTCAATTACCTGTACTGAATTTCGACAAGCACATCGAATTCAACATCGCAAGGCCGACTCACGCAGAACCCTGCGTTGGCGCTGGCAAGTAGCTCAGGCCCCAACGAATCTGCCACAACATCACATGCTAATGAGACATCTTCGTCTGCTGCTGCTGCTGCTACATGCTGCTACAACAACATAACACAATTACCCGTTCCTGTGCTACTATCGCAGGTAGTACTTCGCTTCTGCAGCTCGCATTCTTACTCCTACGCTTCCATGAACATGGCTTTTTGTTGCCATCTTCACCTCATCCCTTATGATTCCTGAGTACTAGCCTTGACTGTTACTAGTACTTCAACGCACAGAAATATCATTGTAACAGACCAGGAGCCAAGTCTGGAGAGCGCATGCGACTTGTCAGACGACTCCCTCAGCTTGTGAGATCCAAGCAACTGGAAGAAGCGTCAATTCGAAGTAGCCTATACCGCACTTATACAACGCATCTAGGACCATACATTGGCAAATATCTCTCAACCCCTAAATGTAGACTCAATTTCCATATCATTTTCTATGTTCTTTTTCCGTTTGATTTCTCCACTATTCCCCTAAACCCGTTATTATCTAGGCCCCTACACTGCCTCTAGGCTTACGATCTCCTCCTGGCTTTGGAGTATCTTAAGGCTAGAAAGCTGAAGATACAAAAGCAAATCAAGGTATAGACAGTATAGGCACATAGCTGTCCGCGCAGGTCACCCGCAAGGAAATGTTTTGTGGTTCAGGGTTTGGGCAGCAGGATAATAGTAATAATATTATTTATAAGAATAGGCCTAGAAACAATAATAAAACGTTTCGCAGTGCCCTGCCGAGGTACACCAACATCTCGCGGTACAAGGCTTCAGCCTGGTGGCGGGCAGATTGCTAAACATGTTCTTGATCCAGCAGAAGGGCTCCTTCTTCCCAAAGCGAAGCTTCCAGAAACAAATTTGGGGTACAAGGGCTCCAAAGCCCAGACAAGGAGCCACATCCCCAGTCATTTTTCCTGGAAGAAAGGATATGAAGCCATTCGGTTCGGGCTTGATTTGATTCCATAAGAGGTGTGCGCTTAATCCCTTCCCCTAATATCAAATCACCCCAAATGTTAAAAAATAGATTCCAAGGCCTAAAAATCCAGAAGACTGCTTTTAAAAGGGGTCACCCAATAATGAATTAGGGTGGTTTTTGAGAACATTAGGGGGTATAAGAAGAAATACGAAGGAAAGAGGGATCCTTCATTTCCTAGGTTTTGACGGTTTTTCATATGGTTTTCATGAAGGATCTTGTATACAAGAACTGAATGTGATTTTACTTGGCTTCATTACCATTTCAGCCGTATTTAATTAAATCTCAATTTAGTTTCATTCGGTTTCATGTGATTTTAAATGGATTTTAACTCGATTTCAACTGATGTTACCAGGACTTAGATTTAAATGGACTTTAAAGTGATTTTGATTCGATTTCTATTGGTTTAATGGAATTTCAATTAAATTTGTATTGATTTGAAAAAGGAATTTTAAAAAACACATCAATTGATTTTGACAAGATTTTGATTCGATTTCAATTGATTTTACAAGGAATTTTAAAGAAATTTCAATTGACTTTAAGAGAATTTTAATTCGATTTCAATAAGTATGTAACTAACTATTCAATTTCGTTAATTACTTGAATTAATCATTCATTTTCTATGGAATTGAAACGGAATTTAAAAGTAGACCTATCTAATTCCTTCAATGAATATCCAGCCCCTAATATTAAAAAAATCCTCAGAGCCCGGAGTATTTAATATTACGGGGGGGGACGTCGTTTAATGTTAGGGGGAAGCGATTACAACGAAAACACTATCTGGCTCCCGGCTGGTATTCCTACCGCCTACATCCAGTTTGATAGAGGTCGTGGTCGGCCTGCTGTGGGTCACATCTTTCGTGCTTGACATACTATGGACGCACGCATGTAGTCCCTTTCCCGTGTATGAAGTTTATGGATAGGTTGCGTGGCCCTCAAGCGAAAAACCCATGGATGGCTTGCAGTCTGAAAACCAAATTCAGTCAAACTGTGTTACTACGAATCAAAAGTCAGTAATCATCGTTGTTGTCGTCGCGGTTGTTGAGGCCGTCGTAGGGGTCGTAGTCGTTGTCGTGGTAGAAACAGCAATTAGCAGCAGTAGCAGTAGCAGTAGCAGTAGCAGTAGCAGTAGCAGTAGCAGTAGCAGTAGCAGCAGCAGCAGTAGCAGTAGCAGTAGCAGTAGCAGTAGTAGTAGTACTAGT